ATATATTAATATTTTATTTGTTAAGTAATAAACACAATTATAAGAAAGTAATGACCAATGTTACAACTAAATTGTTGAATAATAAAGTATGAATTATACAGTAAACAAGAACGTCCGTGATATTATTATCCGATGAGGATGAGACGAGTAAGTATATCAAAACTGAAAAGATTGGATGATAATGCCACGCGCATCAGGTATCGTTGCGTGACGAACCAATACAAACCCATTGGGACCCACGCGCAAAACTCCGCACAATAATAGAACACCAATAACACTGATTATTATTAGTTAATAGTTAATTAATTAATCTCTTAATTAAAAAGGAGAATGGCGCGCGAAAGTAACAAATCTAAACGATTATTAGAAAGAAAGGGAAAGGAAGTAAAGTAAACATTCCCAAATCTAATTCCATTTTCTCTCTCACTCGCTCCATAAATTCTCACCTCACCACTCACTTTTCTCTCTCACTTTCCATTATCTCCTTCTCGCTTTCTTCAAAATGGTCTCACCCTCCCAAAAGATTCTGGTAACCGGTGGTGCCGGTTTCATAGGCACCCACACCGTCGTGCAGCTCCTCAAAGGAGGCTTCACCGTTTCAATAATCGACAATTTTGACAACTCCGTCATGGAGGCGGTTGACCGGGTACGCCAAGTGGTGGGCCCTCATCTTTCTCAGAACCTCGAATTCACCCAGGTCTGCACTCTTTTCCTTTTTCACTTCACTCTCTAACTTTTCCATACTGCAAATTCACCTCTTCTTCTCGTAGGGCGATCTCAGGAACAGGGATGACTTGGAGAGACTCTTCTCCAGAACCAAGTACCCTCTATATTGCTTCTTCTCATTTTCCTATTCTGTTCTTTTTTTACCCTTTCTTAGTTTTTCAGTTAATGTGATAATATGCTGAAACAGATTCGATGCCGTGATCCACTTTGCTGGCCTAAAAGCGGTTGCGGAAAGCGTGGTCAAGCCACGTCGTTATTTTGATTTCAATTTGATCGGCACCATCAATCTCTACGAAGTTATGGCCAAGTATAACTGTAAAAAGGTTTTCACTTCATCCTTTTTTTTTTCTTTTTTTTTATCTCGTCGCTGCTGTCACAATTTATTATGAAAATGACATGTTAGATTCAATTTAATTTTTAAGTAACAAATTCTTTTAACAATAATATATATATATATATATATATATGTATATATATATATATGTATATATATATATATATATATATATATGTATATATGTATATATATGTATGGACGTGCAGGGCAAAATATGTGCCTTGAAAAAGTTAGCTAAGTTTCTTTCTAAGATAGATTCTAAAGTATTATTTATGTGTAAACTAATTTTACTTTTTGTAGAAACTTAATTTTTTTTATATTTATTTTAGAAGGGCTTGGTCCATCATTGTCTTTAACTTTCGTGTCATTCATGGAAGGGATATTTTATGCTTTACGTTATGTTCCAAACAAGGAAACAGTATCAGATTCTTGCCCTTTTCTTTTTTTCTTTTGTGATGGTGTAGAATATTACTTGACATGATCATGTTTCTATGTAGATGGTTTTTTCATCTTCTGCTACCGTTTATGGCCAACCTGAAAAGACACCGTGCGAGGAGGATTTCAAGTTGCAAGCTATGAATCCCTATGGACGGACCAAAGTAACTTTGTTCTGAGTAACCTTTCACTTTTACTTTCTTTTTCTAAGTTATCAATAATGAGTTATTTAATGGAAAAGGAAATAAAAAAGATAAGATGAATTAAAATGTATTTTCGGAATGAGTTGGCATTTTCAAAAACTGATTTTAACTCTGTTTACTCTCCCTTCAATTCATTGAAGCTTTTCCTTGAAGAAATTGCCCGAGATATTCAGAAAGCTGAGCCAGAATGGAAGATTATATTACTGAGATACTTCAATCCAGTTGGGGCTCATGAAAGTGGTCAACTCGGTGAAGATCCCAAGGGCATCCCGAATAATCTCATGCCTTACATTCAGCAAGTAGCTGTTGGAAGGTTGCCTGAACTCAATGTATACGGTCATGATTATCCAACTAGGGATGGCTCAGCGGTTCGTAAAATACACCAACTTATTTGTTTTTTTTACATCATATACACCTATAGAACAGCACGTTAAGGAAAACAGTGTCTAGTTGGACAAAGTAAATAGCATTATAAACATATTGTTTTACCCCTGCAAAGTGCTAATCCTCCATTCCTTCTCTTTATTCAAAATAAGATCCGGGACTATATCCATGTAATGGACTTAGCAGATGGTCATATTGCTGCCTTGAGAAAGCTCTTCACATCGGAGAACATAGGTGAATTGCTCTTTTTCTTCCCTTGTAGATCTACGTGGACAAATTTGTGTGTCATTGTATCAGCCTTATGATATTTACCGGGTTTTTCTTGTCACTAATGCTAAAGTAAAAGATGATATATTTTTGTTCAGGTTGTACCGCTTACAACCTGGGAACCGGTCGTGGAACATCTGTGCTTGAAATGGTTGCAGCATTTGAAAAGGCTTCTGGCAAGGTAAATTATACTTCTTCTTCAGGGAATGAAAAAGTTGTTGAATGGTGTAAGACTTTTAAAATTTATATCGTGTAAATCAAACGCTTTTCATGCCTAAACACAAATGAATGAAATAATTGCGTCTGAAGGCTTCTCTTTTTCCCATTGGATATGAAATCTTCAGAAAATTCCAGTAAAGTTATGTCCAAGAAGACCAGGAGATGCCACGGAGGTTTATGCATCTACACAGAGAGCTGAGACAGAACTTAGTTGGAAGTAAGTACTTTAGTCCTCTGCGCCATGGTTAAAATGGTAATCATTCGAGTTTTTGACAAGCAGATTTTGATGGCTGAAAAATATGGATTCTCAAAATTCAAATACTACCATACTAAACTTCTTAAACTTGTATATTTGACAAATAAGATGTAGGGATCTTTCATTTTATCTTTGTTTTTTGTTAGTTAATATTAATTTTGCCCTTCCTTCAGGGCAAAATATGGTGTGGAGGAGATGTGCAGGGACCAGTGGAATTGGGCAAAGAACAATCCCTGGGGTTACACGGGGAAGCCTTGAATTAGCTTGAGAAATATTACTGCACATCAATGAATGTTTTCCTCACAAATAGGCATCACTTTACAGAATACTATGTTGGTTGATTTGTTTAGGCAGTTCAATGTATAATCTTTGAGAATAAAAATTTGGCCGCATTTGAAGAAGTAAAATCTATATGTATTCAAGCAATATTTCTAAATCTGATTAGCAATTGATTTGATATTGGTAAAAGTTTTCCCAGTCGGCCATGTCTTCAGAAGTTAGAGTTCAAATCGAATCTTATATGTTGGATGCATAAAAATATGGAATTGATTAAACTATTAGTCGAAAATATTAAAAATAAAAAGTATTTTTTTAATATGTTTTTTTTTCTCTAAAAGTGAATTAAATTAAGTTGCATTTATATTATTTGTCTTATTGATTCACCTTTGGGTAATTGTTAAGAAAAATAAATATTTATGATTATCGTTTTTCTATTTTGAAAAAAAAAATTGTAGGTATTGAATTGTTAGTGTGCGTGGTAGGCAGGAAACAACCAATACTTATTTATTTGTAATTAATTGACTAAGTAATAAAAAATTAATTACCATCACATAAGAATGGAAATAGTGTGAATATAATATTTGAAATAAAATTAGCATCTGAAAAAAATAAAAGATAAGTAACTTATATAACCTAGTTGAATTCAATTGGAGTATATCTGATTTTGATGCTATATTTAAATTAAATGGTATGAAACTATGAAATTTTTATTTTTATTGGAATGACTTAAAACTCGATGTGAACTAAACGAGCTACACACTTTTTTTGTTTTTTTTTTTGTTTTTACTAGAATGAGGTAATTTAATTTTTAAAATTATCAAAATTGTGTAAATTTAAAAAGAATTTTGTGATTGGAGAAGTTGTATCATACTGAAATGATTTTGTTGTAATAAAAATGAAATATGATTTCCTTGAAAAAGTTAAAGTTGTTCCAACTTAAGAAGACTTTTGACTGAGCAATTATTTGTGTTATTAAATGTACTGAAATCGTGAAATGTTGCAATAACTTATGTGTTAATAGAACGTTACTACATTCACAACACAATTAAAGTCGTGTCACATAACTTTGTTTTTGGCTTAATTAAAATTACATTAATCTATAAGGACTTTAACTTTTTCAAAGATGTTGTCCTAAGTCAGTACAATTACATTTCAGCTGCAATGAAATTATATTAACATGACATAACTTTTTTGTTATAATATTGTATCAACTTGGCACAACTGGTCCAACCTCAATTTTTTTTTAAAAAAGAACTTACACCATTTTTGTATTTTCTGAATGAACTTACCCCATTTTGATTTATATATATATATATATATATATAACACTTCTTTCTTTAAGAAAGATCATCGATTGTCCTTTTCCTGATCCGGAGATTGAATGGGAGTTTAAAAATGGTATATGACTGTGGGCTGCCGTAATTTATTGACTCGATAATGATCCAATATAGCACTCACTAGAAATGTGGACTTGTTACAAATTCTAGAGTGAATGCTAAGTCATAATATACTTCTTATTTTGTATTTCAGATATATAATTTTAAATAAAAAAAGTTATATTCTATACAAAATGCAAAACCTTATGGAGGTGTAGGTTAAAATCATGGAAATACAGTAAGAAATTACCTATTATGAATACTATAATGAAAGCCATGGGATTTCTTTTTCCATCACCTTATCCAATATGGGACTTTTGAGTAAGGAGGTTATAGAGGAATAATTTGATTTATTGTGAATTGAGTTAAAAATAGGTACAGAGAGAATCCATTATTAATAATTATTTATAAGTATAAAATAAATCCATCTCTCAGTACTTTTAACTTAAATTAAAAGATAATAATAGAAATACGTAAAATAGAAAACAAAAATAGAAGTGGAAGCACATTTACTTAGATGATAGAAGGGTACGCAAAGTACTCCTTTTTTATTTAATAATTTTGTTTATTCTGAGTGCATACATATATGCAAAGTGGGTGGTTCAAGGGCAAAAGACAACCTTATAGTTAGTTCCGCCGGGGCAAGTGAAGGTGCTGGTCTGATCATCTTTGGGATAACTATAAGCATCGGGGCACCTATCCTTGAAGAATTTGGACAGAGCAGTAGCAGAACAGCTTCCGGAATTGCAACAGTATTCGTTGGTTCTGAAGACGGTGCATGGGTTGTTGCAACCGTCTCGAGCCTTCAGCTGAGAGGGACACTGTCCGTTAATGTCAGCAGTGCATGATATGCCACGTGAGCATCCGTTCGACGTTGGACTAAACTCCATGGGAACGTTGAAACCGTCGACCAGGGAGATGTCGAAGAAGTCCAAATTGTTGAACTGGTTCAGCGCGAATTCCGCTAGGGTGTTGGGAGGAGCACCGTATGCTCTGCATTGCAGGACTCCACCACAGTCTCCGGTCTGACATCCACCCCGACCCGACCCGTCGAAGTTGCAACCGGTTCGGGCCCAAATGCGGGCCGCTGTGGTTCCTGCCGGCACGTCAACGGACCAGGTATCGCCGGGGTTTAATTGTCTGCCACCGCCAACAGGCACAGACGCCGCCCACACAGTGTTGCGGCATCGGTTTGTGATATCAAACCTTGCAGCATATGCAGCAGTGGTGAAGGTGAATAATAGAGCCACGAGGAAGAAGAATCCTCTTGGGAGACTCATTTTTGGAAGTGCTGTAAGAGGAGAGGTTAGAAGAGAATGTTTATTTTTGTGTGTAGAAATGGGACTGAAGCAAGCCCTTTTTATAGAACACTCTATCCAACCATTATTAATGTTAGCAAACAGATATTTTTACGACCATTTTTTCATTTTATCTATATTTATTATGAAAATTTTAATAATTTTTTTACAATTTTTCCATTTTAAATATAAGAACTAATTAAATAATCACACATAATCTATTAAAAAAAATTGTTAAAACATCATAATCCATTTATTATATATCTTTTTTGTCTGTCTATTAATTTATTGTTTTTATTATTTAAATATATATATATAAATATAATTTTAATATATATAAATAATTTTGTTTATAGTTATATGTGAAATAATATTTATAATATTATATTTTCGAGAAAAAATTGTACTTGATAATGTTTTTATACGTATAAAAAAAATAAAAGTTTATTTAGTAATTCAAAATAATAATATATTAATTATATTTATTTCATTTTTAGTTTACAATTTTAATTATTATATTATTAATATAACTTGTAAAAGTAAGTATATTCTTTTTAGAAGTGTAAAGTATATTATTTTTCATATTTTAAACATTGCGATTCAGAGATTTTGTTTTTCTTAGCTATTTTTATTGTCTCTATATATCTTTATTTTTTCTATAAATTTTAACAAACAAATACGTTTAATTTTTACTTCATTTTTTACCTATTTTCATCTATTCATTTCTCAATTTTCATTCATTTTATTCATCTCAAACTAGGTTGTATATTAAGTAAATATGAATTTGTTAAATTAATGAGTGAATTAGTAATTTATTTTAAAACCAAAATTAGTATATGCACTCTCTTCTTTTGTAGTATATTATGTGGATGTGTGGATGTTGATAAACCCTTTCTTAGTGTACATCTATTCCTTTTCTGTGATTAATATTATTTAAATATTTTTTCTTTACACTTTTATCTTATTTTTCTTATTGTGATATAATACCTTTTTCAACAATTAATAGTCCTTTCTTAATACATGATTAGATCGTAAGGTCTATAACATATATAATTAATATTATCTAGAATACTTACTTAATATCAATTATTTCTCACATGTATAACTAACTAAATATTAGAGTTTAATGGAGATAAATATAGCTGCTGTGGGAAAGTATTGAATGCTCATTTCTTTTTATTCTTCTTTTTCATGAACCATCCTTCCTAATTCTTTCCTCCATCATCATCGTCAAACCAATACGTATTTGCTAACGTTAACTTTGACGTCACATGCATTATAAATCATTGTATTAAATGTTATTATACTAAATATTATTATAAATTCTTTAAAATGAAATCCAGACTGTCTAAAAGAATCGGATGGGTATATTTATTATTAGCACTCAAGAGAAGAACAATTAATTTCAGCGAAAATGCCAAAACCATATACATATTTTTTACTCTTTTCACTCTCATTTCTATAAATTGATTTTTTTTGGGTATTTATTTATTCTTCAAAATTGAAGAGTTTTGAACTTTGAAAAACATCTCTCACAATAATCTTGTAAGCAACAAGTCAATGATACAGAAAAAAAAAAGTTGAATTTTTCGTTATTAACAAAGCTCAATTTATTACAATAGTGTATAGTTAAAATATTTGACTGTAAACGGAATCCTGTGATTCACATTTAATTTTTCCTAAGAAAATGATACCATATAGATACTGAAAAAGTCTAAACATACACTTAAATTGAGCTGGGTATAGAAAATCAATTCGAAAGTAGTATACAGTATAAAATATGAAGGGTGATTCCTTTTGTTCTTATCTTTCTAAAATTGTTTATATATGTGATATTAATTTTAAAATAATTTTATTTTCTTCTAAAATAAGTTATTATTTAAAAATATTTATTTTACTATTAAAGAAGAATATATGAGAGAAAAACCATGCCCAGTGGTACTTCGAAAAATCGAAGTGCCCCCACGTACGTAGACGACGAAGACCTTGACTTTTCGTATTCCACAAAAATTGTAATAAATTTACTTAGATAATTTCTGGAATTTATATTATATTATTTTTATATTATAACAAATATTATTTAGTGTCATCGAAATCGAGGTATAATAATAGCCAGATGGTTCTTTTTGTTCTTATTTTTTTAAAATTGTTTATATATGTGTGATATTAATTTTAAACAATTTTTATATTCTTCTAAAATAAATTATTATTTTAAAAAATTTATTGGTACTTTGGAAAATTGGTAGACGACGAAGACCTTGACTTTTCTTTTTCCACAACAAGTGTGATAAATTCAGTTATATATTTTCTGAAACTGACATTATATTATTTTTATAATATAAAAAATATTATTTAGTGCCATAGAAGAAAATTTTATCAGGAGCCTTCCCAGTATTTCAATTTCTGGCTTTGTCTTTGACACTAACAACAAATGTGTTTTAAACAAGACTTTAACAATTGAAAAAACAGTGAGGATGACAATGAAGAATATGCGAGTCTTGGTACTAAATCCTAATTTTTTAACTAAAATAAATTAAATATTAATTTGATCTTTATTTCTATTAAAAAAATTTAAACGTGGTTCTAGTTTTATTTTATTTTTTTAATTAAATTTTACTTTTCATTTATTTTATTTTTTTATCGTTTAAATAATTAACAAAATATAAATAATATTATAGATCACATGTCATTTGTTGTTGTTTTTTAACTGTTTATTAGGTTTTTATAGTTAAAGAGAAAAAAAATTGTCTATGAAGTCAATATCATATTATATTATTATATTATGTGTAGTAGTAATGTTATGTGTCAAATGTCTTATATTTAATTTATTTTATATATTTTTATTTTAATTTAATTTAGTTTCAATATTTTTTAAATGGAATAATTTTGTCTCTTTACAAATTTAGACCAAAAGTGATTTTTATATAAATATCATATTTATATTTTTATTAAAATTTATATTTTTAAAATTATTTTCAAATCAACTTTTACTTTAATTATTAGAATATTAGTATTTTTAAACCAAATTTTTAAATTATATTATTAGAATATAAATATTAAATTTATGTTTAATTTTTACTAACAGTAAAAAAATTAGATTAGAATTGGTTTAACATTTGATTTAAAATAGAGATTAGATGTTAAAAAAATAAAGTTTGATTTTTTATACCTATAATAGGGCAAGAATATACAAACAGTAAAGACTTTATTTTATAGTTTTAAATTAATTCTAACCCTATTTAATAACATAGTTGGAATTGGTTTAAAAGTAATTAAATATTTTTTAATAAAAATATTAATATAATATTTATATAAAAATTAAATTTGATTTAAATATAGAAAGAAACAAAATTATCTAAGTAAAATTTAAACTAAATTGAATTTCACGACATTGCTACGGTCACACAACAATATACTAATTTGATATATGAGTAATTTTTTTTAATTAAGAACAAATAAATAAAAAAAAAATTACGAAATAACACGTATATATCATTTAAATCGAGTTAATTATTTAAAGGCAGTTAACAAAAATTACTAAATTAAATAAAATTAACAGTGTAATTTAATTTATATAAAAATAGAACTGCATGAAAAAAAACTTCATTAAAATAAAAACCAAATTAGTATTTAAGAAAAAATTATGTTTATTTTTGTTTCATGTTGTAATAAGCATGTAAGTTTTGTTTAATTTTCATTTTTAAATATTAGTTATTTTTTTATGGAATTAAAAGATACATACTTTATAAGCATGACATTAGCATGTGTATAATATCACAAAATAAACATTTCTTGTTTTGAATGTTAAATACTGTTAAAAAAAATTATAATTATGCAAATATTAAATCAGAATACCAAATAATAATTAAATATTTTTTATTTATTAAAAATGTTTAAATGTGTTTATTAAATTAAAGTGCAGATTGTATTTTTGAAATTCAATTCATGAAACTACACTATACAAAACGTAATGAAAGTTGTGATAACAGGAAAAAAAAATTAGAGGTCTTAGTAAATTTTGTAAATATCAAACAGTTAAACTCTTGAAAAATAACATAATATATTTTATAGTTATTAAGAAGAAGGAGGATAAACTTTTTATGTTAGCCACTGAATTACTTAAACAATTAAACACTTAAAACAGAGGATTAAACATTTGTATGTGAAAAGAAAAATCAAAATTATTAAAAATATAAAAGCAATTAAATGTGCATCGTAAAAATTATTTAATTAAATAAAATAGATTTTTTGTATTTTTCCAAACATAATACACAGAAAATAAAATATGTAATTTAGAGTGTTATAAAAGAAAAAATCCCTTAAAGAGAAAACAGTTTTATGAATTTTAAACAAATTAAACCGAAACAAATTTATTCAACACCGACAGAAAAAGAATTTGGACAATATTAAGAAAAACATATTTTAAATGCATAATAATGAATTCTTCTTTGTTTATAGACAAAAAGGTAGTTAATTTTCAATTTAAAAATAAAGTTTACTCAATATCTTAGTAAAATGTTCAATAGCTTGATTAGTGAATATGTCTGCCAATTTAATGTGCCAAAATGGAATTTAGTAATGATCTTAATCTTGTTATTTTGAACAAGTATTTTAGTTTCTACACAGATTAATATTCATACAATGTTGTTGATTATTGTTAAATCTATTCATAATTATGTATCAACAGAGTTACGAATAACTTACTAAATCAATAAATTATTTTTTCACATATTTACCATTTTGTTAACTATCACATTTTTCGTATAATTACTATTATTTTAACAATCATGTTTTAACAACAAACCGTTAATAATAAAAATGTAATACAGTAATAATAAAACAAAAAAACAACGCTCAGGTCTCAGACGAGTAATCTAAAAAAAAAATAAAAAAATCATAAACTATTATAAATTGAAATTTATATATCTTTTTACGTAAACATTCTATTCTTATAACATTTGATTTCAATAAATAAAATATAAAT